AATTTTCATGAATTCGCCACGTCTTTCCAAAAATGTGTTCAATAAATGCATCTTTGTGAACATATATGTGCTGAATTTAGCCGCAAAACATCATGAATCAAATAATGAGATCAGTAACTGAGTTAAAACAGATCACATTGATCAGTTTATATAATAATCGTGCTGAATTTATAGTTCATTCGAATTCAGACTCATCTACGATCCCAATGAACCAAACGTTAACAGTCCAAAATTCATCGTCATTTCACAGTTTAGCAATTCTTTATGAATTCCACTCAGCATCTAGAACCTGCAAAGGTATCATGCACGAGATTAACGTTAGACATGAATTCATGATTACGTTAAAATAAGTGGCTGGAGAAATTGATTCGTTGTCGATTTGGTCTCGTGTCAAATTCAGCTTTTTTGTAAGCTGTTCAAATATGCAGTGGGATGCAGGATTTTTGTTTACGCAGTGAATGTCAATTCAATCTGCCCATTATAAGTATGATGATAGCTGCCATATCACAAAATTCGCTCATCAGTTGATTTCCACGGCTACACTGGGTCTGATTTTCCGATCCAGAATCCACTTGAGCATATTCCTTCCCTATTGAGCATATTCCCAGCCATCCAAATGGCATGAAGTGACATTGCTATTCATTCGAACGCTCATCTATGATGCTCCTGTCGACAGGATGTTCCATTACAACGAAATTAACCATACGTTTTCTATCACACTATGTAAAAGTCACCCTTGAATAGCCTCTACTCACTCTGCTAATATATTCTGGCAATTTCCACATACTTTCGAAATATTTTTTTAGTGACACATGCATCCATTCAACTTAGCTGCAGCTGCTTTTTGCTGTACCATTCTCAGAGAATCTTTAGCTGCAGGAACGCGCATTCGCAACGTAAATGATCCAGAAATCCAGGCTAGTTTCATTTTAAGCAAGAAGCTATTTAATCAGTCCTGAAGCGATACTGAGAGATGAGGCCACCAGCAATGCCACTTCTTCCAGCATTTGGCAAAGGAAGCGATCAAACAAATTAATGCTCAGTCGCTCGAGAAAAACTGGCAAGGAATGGTGAGAGTTATCAGCGCAAGGACAGAGCAAACTGAAATGAGTAAAGTCAGACTCAGCATTTTGACGCAACTCACTGATTGCAACAAACATGTAGGTTACCACAAGTAAACTTCCTCAATGAACAAAAAGAGGTGAAAACATATAAGGCAGCGCATTCAATACCCAGCTACAGCGTACATTTTCAGGTACCGGACACGAGCGAGTGTAAGTTCAAATCAGACGCACCAGAGAAGGTTTCTTCATGTTGTTTCAAAGCATCAATCATCATAGGAGCAGAGTTCCTGTGTCTCATACCACCCAGTTTGATCATACTCCTATTATTCCGATAGACTGCTAAGTCCTGAGCTTAGTTCTAGTCATTAATCCTTTCTCATTGTGACTGCAAGATGAACAAGGCGTCTAAAAGGAAAAATTTAAATTTAAATTCGGTTCGGCTACCGATAGCTGATTTCAAGTACGAAAAAGTTCTTTGAACACTGCTTTCACTTTCAGATATGCACTGTTTCAATCGCCAACGAATCTCCGCAAAACACTGGCACCATTGAAGTCCATTTATGTTTACCAGTGATATCCGAGTGAATTTCCAAAACACACGAATATAAGAAATGGTAGTTGCTGAAATGGTTTAGCAAAATCAATTCATGGAGATATTTGATGATTTCAATTCATTCCATGCATCATTTATTTTGCATTCTGTTCAGCATTGAGAACATTTATGAATTTACAATTGAATAATAATCAGCTTCCATCATTCGAGCACCATGAATAAAATTCCTAACTGAATAAAAATTTTTCAAATCAGCTTTCATTTGAACAGCGTGTGAGAGAACCATTAAGTGAAAAGTAAATCAGCTGCGCCATCTGGCAGAAGGTGAACTGCTCTGTTGTTTGGAAGCTAGAGAAGTACCATATGACTCACCGACCTTCTATGTTTATCCAATATTACAATTCATGGAATTGTTTATTCAGTCATCAAAAACTCATTGCTATACCACCATTAAATGAATTTTCAAAATCTTTTCAGGTGTTCTGTAATTGCTCTCATCTCTCCCGTACAGTGAACGTGTTCTCCTTATTTCATTCTCTGCTCTATTACTCACACAAATCTAATTTTCAACATTTTCCACACCCTAATCGGTCACTTGTTCCTGTTTTTACGGTTAAAGAATTCTTCAATTAGGTTTCGTCAATCGACGGAACATCCTTTCTGCATTGCTCTCACTTTTCTCACACACATAAGTTCTCCTAAACCGGCTAATCGGAGGTAGTTGCAAATACTTAACGACAGTCGCACAATGGTGAACACCATCATATTTCCATCATCAGACTTTCAGTGCCTGACAATTAAAGAAAGTTCGAATTTTCGAACTTATATGCACTGGCCTGTTGCCCGTTGTTATGCTGTATGTGATCGTTTAGCAGTAGAATAACTATTTCCATTGAACCTATGTATGCTGCCGGTGTCAACGTGATGCTTGCTAAGGTGTGGCATTTCCCAGTTCAGATCAGCAATCCTGCTGTCGATGGAACGCTCAGAAAGAGTCGTGAAGCATTCGGTTGTTTTAATAAATAAGCAAATAGTTCCAGCAAGGACATGACTTCGATGAAATATGACCTTTGCAGCATAATTCCATTGAACAACAAATGAATACGTGAATGGAACATTACATGTAGTGGAAAGCAATGAAATTATCGTTGAGTAGTATCACTTATGCAATTGCCTTCTGGTCATCCTCAGCTCCAGTCACCATCCGCAGGTGTAGCGACAAAATCTCGACGCTCTTTCCGTCTCCTATGAGCCTCTCTCATCGAGCCTTTATTATCATCGTTGCCTGTCGCCTGATTTTGCAAGCCCTTTGCCACATTCAACACTTCGGCTCGTTCAGTCTGTTCCTTTCTATCAGAGCTAATCCCATTTTGTTGCGTTTCGCCCACAGGTTGCGGTTTATAACTTTTATATTCGTTGCGTTTGAACAGTTTGTAAAGGGCCCTTTTCGCTTGTGTCAATTCCCATGCTGGTTGCTCGGGTGGTACACTCACAGGTGGTTCAGGAGGTGCATGACTTGGCGGTCGCGGTAAAACGTGACCGCAGCCAGTCATTATTTCTGTGTTTTCGGAATCTTGTGACGTAGCTGACTCCGCTCGTCTACATCGTAAACCACCAAGAAATAGCATTTCAACTCTTCTCGTCGATATCTCGAAGAGAGCACTCCAGAAAATCGCGAAGAAATATGTGAGCATTGCAGCTGGAAGTACTATCGAAACAAACTGAAACATTTGTCAGTAGTTGTGCAATGCCTCGTAATAACCCTAACATTCATGAATAGGCTTAAGGTATTCCTCATCTGCATCCCTTATGTCCCGACAGCTTCATGAATCTCTCATCTGAATGACCCTACGCATTCGATTTCACCTGAACTAAGATCGATAGGGACACGCTTGTTTTATTGGAGGTTTTACATACTGTTTAGCGCAGAGGATAATCGAAAACTGTGACACTGTTTCAATAATAAAAGAAGTGAACGTTCAAAGTGCGATTGTAAATTTCATTTGACTGTTCATGACAAATTGATTGTTAGGAATTGTCGCAATTCAGTAACAACTCACAGATTTCGGACTTCCCTAAGCTCCTTATTAATAAATTCTGGTGGTAAAGTATGGAGAAACTTACAATGAATGAGAAGTTTGTGTATGTTAATGGTACATTGCGCATCCCAACAACATAATGCACGATGCACTGATGTAGCAGGTATGAACAATATGTAAGACGACTGCATGGAATCCATACTGACCATGACATGAACTGACTGATTGGACCTGCATATCAAACAGTCGCGAAGTATGCGACCAGACACAGGTTACCAATGAACAGTTATGAATAGAAATGCAACTCCTTTTTTGTACCATGATTATATGGAATAAATACAAGTGCAATTTTTTGCTTCAGTTTTCCGGCAGATCTGAGCAAACATATCAAGATACTGGAACGAAAATGATCCTACCAACCTCCATAACCGTAAAAGCACGCAACCGTAACATAGGACAGTGCAAGTCCCCACGCGATCTTACTAAACGCTGAATAGAAAGCTCGCTCAGTTAGGCTCAGCAGTTTACCATCAGTCCAGTCTTTCAGACTTACCATAAGATACGCTCCGATTGCAAGCGATATTATCCACAAGACAATATTTACTACCTGCAATTACTTAATTTTATATTTAAAGAACCAATATGTGAAACAAAGTGATACTCATCATGTCGACTCATGATAAATGCTAACTGGCTCCACGAATTTTCGGAATTTCATAGAATGGGCATTTCTCGACTGCGCGACCTGCTAAAATCAATGATTCACGAGCTGGGTTATCGAAAAAACCCTGTTAAATTTGGTGATTTCAACAAATTGCGATGCAAACCCAGAATTTTCTCACTAACCTTGTTAATGTGCAACCTTTTCTTTGTTTGCAATAAGTAACCAATTAGCATTCCAGTTATATATATCTGGCAGTGAATCCAAGGAGAATCTGCGATCAAAAGAGTATATTGCCTAAAATCCAACTTGCGTTCATTTGCGCGCATAAATGAAAAGTTATCAGTCGGAATTTCTATCAGCAAAATATTTGAGAAATATCATCGAACTCAAATCAGCACCCACTTGTTGTTTTTCATGCGTGGATCCATTACTCCAAGAGGGTAGGGAGACGGCGGAAGATACAGTGCGTAAACTGTTGCCATATTGGCTGCAACTGAAGCACACAATATCACTCCCGCAACAATAAAGCCAATAATGGGTTTTATCGCCAAAGGAACGAGTAATACTGGTGCAAATATGTACATTTGCAAATCAGTTGCCAAATACCACGAAATCGAATAACACTGAAATCGAAAACGACCCGCTATCGCTTTTCAAATTATGGTTTTAAAAATTACTTCAACTTACTTCAAAGTTCTAATACTTTTAAATTACCTCAAACTTCTAATCGAAACAAAAGAAATATGCCTCGTGAAATGTCATAGAAAGCAAAACTACAAAACTGAGCAATAAGGGACGAGCGACCCGTCAAAATAACTGCGTCGATTATGTAGTGAAGCCAGATTTCATCACAATAACTGGATTTTATTCAGTATATCTTCCAGACTATTTGTGCTTCATTCTGATGATAAAATACAGTGAAACGTCGGATCAAAATTGAAGAAAAGGCACCTGATTTCCATAATCGATATAATTGTTCAGATACAAAAAATTGATCCACCAGTTCTTTTCACACGAATCGTGCAATGGTGACAGAACATTCGGCATATTCTTGGTGAACGTTAGAAATACAAACGAGTAGAATGCTATCATTAGATAATACGGGGGAGTTAGCCTACAATCAGAATTTCTTTCTGAACAAAACACAGGATGCCGAAAGACTGAATTTACAGTCAAGGAGAATGTCCCTGATTATTTTCAAGGAAACGCAAGTGTAATTGAGTTAATGTGACCGAACAAACCTAATGTATCGATGCACGTAAAACATTATCCAGGCAATTCGTGACATTTGCTGCTTTTCATTTCGATTGTACTCTCTGAACCATACAAAAGATGCTAATAATCCGGATAGAAAGAAAAATGTATCAACACCAAAATATGCATTGATCAGGATTTGCGTTGAGCGATCTTGCAAAGTTTTAAACTCTTCCAATGAATTTGCTGTAATACAGATAAAACTTGAAACCCGTATTTAGCGAAATTCCGTGTCCCTAACAAAAAATAGTTAATTTGGAGTAGTACAATCATCACGACCGATCTTATGCAACTCGCTCATGTATTTATATAGAACATAATCGCATTTCGAGATGGAATAATCGTTATAATTCCATCATGAATCGGTTCTGCATCAAGCAACAACAAAACTGAAAGTTACTCATTATATCCGGTAATATCGCATAAACATGACCCATCAATATCCAAATAAAGCTCGCGAATCGCATGAAATGAAGTGGTCGTATTTGATCGCGTGAGTTGGTATTTTCGGTCGAAAATATGTACACAATGTTCGCATAGATTGAAAATGCTACGCAACATTGCATTATTTTTGCTAAAAAAGGAAAGCATCTGTGTAAGAAATCGAACTTCACTCAAATTAATAACAATTATCAAATTCGACGTAGTCTGAACTTCTATATTCCTTTGACTTACAAACGATCTGATCAGTGATTTTTCAAACGCTCATTCGGTTTGACAAATACAAAAGAAATTTACATTCATTGCACAACTTACATTCTCCTATCTGTGTATTCTTATAGCGTAAGCTGAAGAAATAATCATATATTGTTCCAATTATTGACGCTATGCCAATCAAGATAATAACACATCTAAAATCTTGATAAGGTTCCTCACTCCAATCATAACCATATCAATTATGTACCACTTTACATGTATTTGCAAATAATTCGCTCAATAATTTTCGCAATATCATGTTTGGTTAATGCAAATCACGAAAATGATAAGATTTGAAAATCCTTTAACAGTACACTGTTAGCCAGGTTTTGTAATCTGTCTTTCGACCTTGCTTCACAATAGACATCACCATCCGCACCGGTTGAGATCCGTTCATGTTAACTGAAAATTTTTCACATTGGAAAAAAATTGCACCGGGTGAAACGCTATGGTGAAAATTCCTTTGAGAGTGTAGCATGCACTTTGATTTTGCAGGAGTCGGTCCTGCTGAGCCTTCCATTTGTTATCTAGCAGTTACTTATTATTAGCAAAATATAGTTATTTATTTATTACTTATTAGGAAAGAGGTGGCTTGAATCGGAACGGTACAATTTGCTTGGGGATAGCGAAAATAATTTGTTTGCACTTTTCGCGAACGAACGAGGTTTACAGAATGAAGATATGAGCAGAAACTGAGACAATCACACCTGTTCCGATATAAAGTCTGAATTTGTTTCAATATTTTGTTTCAAAATTTGTTTTTTGCTTCAAATTTTGTTTCAATATTTCATGTTCAGTTCTCCTACATTAGTATTAGATAATTTCAGGTCTTTTTTTCAATCAGAGAATAAAATCATTACTTACTGCGTCGTCCTAGTTTCAGCAAATCTGCATCATTGGAACACGATTTTGGTAAGCAAACATCATAGGCTAAGAATTCATAATTTTCTGCATCATCTTTATAGAGTGTTTTGTCTCGGTAATCGCGAAAACGCGCATCGAAGAACAACCTAAAAACACAGAGCGGAATAATGAAGTAAAAGTAAAGGGGAACGGAATTTTTCAAGAGTTTCCTCTGAGAGATATGCATGGTGAACACTTTACCTCCCATAGCCACCCTTCAAATGTTGTCTTCGACCTGGGATTTCCACATCGATTGCTACACATTCACTATAGAGACCACTGAAAATCCTTCGTCCAACTAAGATACCTGGCTCATACTTTCCGGACGCATCGAGCACTGGAATGAATTGCCTTTGAGAATAAATTTGAGCTTCACTTCTTCCCACACCATTTACATTTTGCTCAACATGAAGTAAATATCACTGAAGAATCGTAAATGTGATATAAACATAACAAAAAAAATTTCTTTTATGATTACCACTGAAGCAAGGTGACTATGAAACCAGAATAAAATTGATGAAAAGAGTTAGAGGAGAAGGACATGCTGTGGAACAAATGCAATTTTTCATGAACAAATAAGCAATCAAAGAACGAATGATGCTAACATGTGATCTATGTACGATCAATTCAATGTGACAGCTAGATTAATCCAATATCCTTCACTCAAATAAATTCAACTTGATTGTTTGTACAATTTGCATTTCTGTCTCTTTCTGTTTTTCGGGTGTGTAGGCGATTGTATTATCATGCAGCAGGGATCTTATGCATGCGTACGTCACAAACATGACGATTTCGTCACAATTGCGAAGTGCACCTGCATTCTGAGACACCGCATTCTACTCGGTGAGGAACGGATAGAAATGGTCTGCGCACATAAAGGTACTGCTTAAAACAAACTTGCTCTTCATCCTCTCCGTTTGTCATGCCACAAACATTCAGTTCGGTGCTAAAATAATAACTTACTCTCGAGAACGACGTTTTGGGTCAATTGGTCACATTCGTATGAAGTACCATTCGATTTGTTAAAAAGCTTTTGCACACAGGGTATTGTCATTTTCAATTCCTCTTCACATTCTAAATTTTCTATGATTAAGGCAATGGGAAAGCTTGTCATGTAAGCATCTGAATTTCCAGAGTGAGAGGAATGACTTTTGCTTTGTGGACCAGGGAAAGAACACTCCGCTGTATTTTAAAGCTCGACAAGAAGCCGGGATTCTGTTTGAGAAGGAACCTTTGGAAACGTCGACGTTTGACCAATCGAATGTGAAGGAGGGTATAAGCGGGGACTGTAATGGCTTCAACAACTCCATCAAATGGTGTTTCACTACCTGAAAGAAGCATATGGTTTTTATAAAACGCTGCAGTTTTCCTGTTGATAGCAATCTATGAAAACAGTTGAGTATTGTGCACTTCAAAACCTGTACAATAACAGAAAGACTGACGTATTTTACGGATTATTTATTTATTTATTTAATTAGCAAATCAAACTCATTACGAGTTTATGCCTCTCTGTTATTACCAATATCACTAATATCACATTCTTCCTTCCTTGGCATTCTTCTTTCAGCGCAGCTAACGATAATAGCGTTTGGAATCATCTGTCTTCATGAAATCCGAACTTGAATTATTGATTTGGCAAGTACAGAGGTTTTGGGCAACTCTCCCATATGCCCATTTATTTCTAGGGAGAGGGACTCAGAAAGAGCCCGAAAATTTTTTTTTTTTTTTACGGATTATGCACAAGATTAAAGGATTGCTGATTTGGATAAGGTGAAACGGTGCTTACCGATGCCTCATATTTTCCTGTTGAATCAGCGGTGAGTTGATTAGCTTCACGATTGTTTTTATCACATAGCACAACTGACTGATAGAGTGTAAAAATAGCGTACAATAGGAAATTTTCGAGTTTCATTGAGAATAGCCTGAAACAGAAACTATTGACTGAATGATCCAGTTTAGCAACCTAGATAGAACTTGATCGTCGGCTTTTTGTTGGATTAATGATAATTGGTTAAAATCGTCGCCTCATTGGCTCAGGGGGAGAGCGTCTGTCCAGTAAACAGAAGGCCGCTGGTTCGATTCCAGCATGAGGCATGTTTATTTTCTCGCCGGTGACCAGCAGTAATGAATTATAAGTGAGTGATTATTTTACATTTAGTTCGGCACCTGTACCACTGTCAAGCGCACTACAACAGAATAAGCGCATAAATATTTAAACAAATAACAGGAATAAAAACACAAAAAGGAAACTCATGTTCAACCAAAGTAAACTAAAGATCTTTAAGACGGAAACTGTGAACCATGTTGATCGGATTATTTTCTTGAAATCATGAGACTTTCTCCACAAACGAAGATCTTCGCACCGAGTGTGAAAATATTTTTAGCATCAGTGGGAAGCAGATGAGATCAACTTGATGAGCAGCAACAGATTTTCATCTTGTGCTGTCAGTTGGAGTGCGTAGAAACGTGAGATCATACGTTCAACACAATGATGCCAACGTTTTACTTATTATCAGTATGTCACTAACACAACGATGTCAGTATTGTGTTCACATGCGGTTATCAAAGCAACGAATATGTACATTGCTGATGACCACGACGAGTAGCTGAAGAGATCAGACAATTGTTTACTTTTCACCCTTCCATTCGAAACTAAGCTCTTCTTATCAGTTCTAATCATAATATGTCGAATAAATCATCTGTATCGCACTTCACTGCATGATCAGCATAAATAAGTCGAAACGTTTCCATAGCAATGACGTACTAACACTATTTCAAGTTGATCTCAACCGTTCCTGATTACGAGTTTGGTAACATCAAAAAAGTTAGAAATTTAGCGAAATGTGTGTTATTCACCCATACCAGCTATAGATCTTCCCGAAATAAAATTGCAACTAAATTAACGATAAAATCATCTCATATGATCGCTACTATCAAATATTTGTCATTCATTCTCTTTGTTCCTGCAATAAAAATTCCAAGACGTCAAAATTTGTGCTGATGAGCGATGAATTTTGGGCTTACAAGCCAACGAAACTCACGTATCTTTTCGAAACGTATGCAACCAGTGTATTACTAAACTGAATCTTGATGAATATGCTTCTCAGGTACTGCGCGCTTGCAAAATTCTGCTATTAGTTCAGTATCAGGAATTAGCAATCAGAGTTGGGCAAAATCAGTCAGATCGCAGGGGTTTCTCATACGCAAAAACTTCCAATAGTGATGCAAATTTTCCCTCAAGCTATTCTATTTTTTGAATAATTCTGAGAATTAAACTAGTCCCTAAACAATCCCAACATCATTGTTTAGTGTAAGTTTATTGTTGAGCGGCCAAAACGGTGGGCCGCTTTTGTGGATCTATCGATCGCAGATAGCTCTCTAGGATATGTCAGTGATTTCCCGTTAATTCAGTTGCTTATTCATAAGCACAATTGCATGTATAGCCAGCAAACAAGATCACAACCATTGTGGGTGTGTGTTTTTATCTATAAGAAAAGCGCAGTCAACAGTCGATCATTAATAGACGTCATGATCAGTTGCTTCAACTTTTCACCTATCAACCAAATGGAGTGTCAAGTGAGAGTTCAAAGGGTTGTAACGAAAAGGTTTCACGTATTCAGCGCCGTATATAAGTCCAGTTATATGCACGATAGGTGCTGACATTTCAGAGTTTGTTATGCAAGATATAAATAAACGATTAAAAGGAAAATTACTGGAAACGCAGGAATGGTATGTTGGATTGTTAACAAGGACTGCAGTCGAGGTAGGCTGCGAGGAATCATGTATTTCACAATGGATTCCTGATGACATCTCGAGAACAATTGGCATTTCGTTCTCTGTGTCAATCGGAATATTCCATTGCAAAAGTGTATCACATGAACGCAATTCTAGACGTTGTGTGGTGACTGATGTGTTTTTACAGTGTTATCTGAAGAAGGAAGGTGATTTTGCGGTACGGACAAGTGAGAAAGGTGGCACACTGGAATTCGTTGTTTCTGTTCGTGGCGCATCAACATGTGCACACTTCACTGTATTTTATGAGGACAATGCTGGATGGGGTTTAAATTTAGACAATCAAGTGAGGACAGAAACTGAGTCGAGATAGTTTCAGATGCACAATTTTGAAGACAGTGATGTTCCACAGTTTTGACGAAGTGTTCTGTACTATTTTATTCTATTCCATTCTATTCTATTTCGCCCTATTGATGTTCTGTCTACTCTATTCTGAGCATTCCTTTTTGAGAATCGTTCCGTCCCCTTCCGTCCTTCTACTGTTCACTTCTCCTGCGCCCCCCGAATTTTGGAATAATCGATTGCATCCGTTTGCCTGCTCATTGATTAATTTGCTTCAAGTCAGACCCTATTCATAATAATTGGCAGATCATCGGAAACGATCTTTCAATCAGTTACGGTGATGAATGTAACTTTTTTCGAAGTTCTTGATGCATCGGAGTGGTGGATGTAATTTGTTCGAAACAATCTAACATAAAGTTCCCCGTGTATATTCAATAATGTGCACGCCGAGGAAAAATAGTAAATAAAGTGACAATGATTTTGCAGAACACTTTCCCGACTGTGGTGGATCTAGTGGAGTATTATCGAAAGCATGCTCTTCCAGGAGGAAATTCATTAAAGCATCCCGTTAAACGACCAAAATGGTAAGTACCGTTTGGTATCGTCATGCGCTGCATCATTACCGCGCTCATGAAGTGGTGGTTGACTTACCCCATTGTCATTTCGCAACTGACCTACGAGTTAATCGCAAATGAGAAGCCAACCTAGTTTGGTAAAAAAGGTGTAGATTTCGCTTTCGTTAGGAAAATTCGCTTACGGCTTTTTGAGAGCGAATCAACCTTACTGGACTGTTGTGAATGCAACGAACCTTGAGGAGTTGATAAAGTTGCCTGAGAATATCTTTACATTCACTAACCTGTCTTCTACATCCCTAGGTACTTGAAACATGAAAATTTATCTTACGATACCAAGAGAGATTTGCTTGGATCTGGAAATTTTTGTGACGTCTACAAAGGAAGATTAAATGCCACAAAATCAGTAGCTATCAAAATCTGTCATGGACCAAACGGTAAGCACGCTTCGAATTGAAATCAAAATAACGATGGAAACACCGACAAAAATGTAAAAAGATGAGGCACTATTCAGCAATAAATGGAAGAGATATTATCTTTTAACAAGTTACATCTTTTGTTGGGAGCACAGTCACGCTCCAGCTTTTCGAACGTCAACAATCTCGACTAATTTCGACACTGGCAAAAATCATTCGCAATTATCGTAAAAGAGGGCGAATTCAGGAGAAAAAAAAGATCAGGATTTGCGCAACGCAGAAAAGGCCAAAGATTCGCTCATCAAAGAAGGTAGTTTCATGGCCGAATACAGACATCCAAACATCATCAAGGTAACTCTTTCCATCATTCCAGTGCATACGATGAATATAAACCACACCAACATAGAACATCCTTGACAGTGGCAAATTCGTTCCGCAAGCCTTCCCTGCAAACAAAGAAATCATCTTCGACCCACTGCAGGACATACCTAAATAAAATAGTTCGTGATTTGCGCTCGGAAAGCAAGAGCGACCTTTTTGCTTGAAGCACGAATTAAGCTGTTTTCGAGAAAATCAAAATCAAACATTTCTGCCCCATACTAAAAACGAACCTTTCGATTAGAGAACATGCGTTCACCCCTCACCCTACGACGTTCACGTAGTTCTCGTAAGCTTCCACTATTGCTATGCGATTGAAGGATTCTGCATCCCGGTGGAATCGAACCAGAGACCTTCCCTTTACTAGACAGACACTCTGACACTAAGCCAATGAGGCTAACATGGACCGGCATATCGTTTAGTATCATTCCGCTATTGTTTTTAATCATTCAGA